ACCCAAGGCCTTCATACTGAGCTATTCTTCCTCAGGCCTTTCTTATTTTTTATTTCAAGACAGGATCTCACTAAGTCACTAAGTTGCTTAGGCTGGGCTTGAACTTGTGATCTCCTGCCTCAGCCTCCCAGAATCCTGGGATTATAGGTGTGCACCATCATGCCTGGTTTGAACTTTAAGATGATTAATTTTATATTACGTGAATTTCACCTGAATATTTAAAAGTGTTAAAATTAAAGTTCTCATCATTCTTATTGTTCCACAATCTCTCACTATTGGGAAATAAGGGGAGGATTTTGTTCCCATTCCATAGTGATAAGACTACATTCTGGTATTTGCCACCTTTCAGCTTTTGTGAAAAGTGTAGCATTTCCCGGATGTCTGCAGTACAGAAGTAACTCCAACCATGATCCCTGAATGGCCTCCCTGAGCTGTGCACCTTCACACAGCAACAGCAGCAGCTGTTTATCTGCAGTCCCCAAGCACCACCCGGGTTTGTCCACAGTCAACTGAGTAACTGTGTTTACCAGACACTAAACCCAGCCAGCCCCGTGTGGTCTAGCTGGGCTGTGGGGAGTGGCATTCTGCAGCAGCGACATCAGATGAAGACAACGGGTCATTTCAATTCAGTAGAAGAATACAAAGACCTTGAGATTTCCACATACTTTCAGGATCAAACTCAGTGTCGACAGAGACCAGAAGGACCTTTGGAAAAGAGGCAGAGTTTCCCTTTTTGACTTTTTTATACTCAGAAGACCAAATGCTTCAACACAGAGATCCAAAGCAGTCAGCTCTTAAGTACAAAGCAAAGCCCCAGAGCTTATGGGGCATAAAAACAAATTTAGAACAAAGATGAAAAAGAAAGGACTTGAAAGGAAACTATAACACAATGACACCAAAAACATGGCTCACTTCACACTTCAAAAGGTCAGGGGAGGGCTGCTGGGTCTCTCCACTGCCTTCTCCTTCCACCCATCACTGTGGAGCCACTGCCACAGATACACAGCCTCCCCAGGCCTTCTTGTCCACCTTCTGAATGCTTCATGGGCCTCATGCTCTGCTTCCTGCTCCCTCTCTAATCTTTCCAACTTTGGACCTTAGGATATTTTCTTCCTACTATGACTTTGTCCCCTCCCAGGCTGAACACTTGGGTTTGAGCTGCTTTTAAATATTCCTGTGCATGTCATTGGCTACCCCATCCATTCAGCCCAGCCCAGGAATGTCACTCAACTGCATGCCCTTCCAGGTGTGGAAAACGTTCAGGTCCGTTGGGTGTCTCCTTTCTTTTCTCAGGTGTACACCTCAAGACTAGACCTTAAATAAGCCATGAGAGGCTGGAAAAACTTTAGAAAGCATCTTTATACTGAAAAACAAAATATATTAAATGCTTTAAAAATTCTCCTAATTCTATTGCAAAAGCCACTGACTTAAATTTTATACATTTATATAAATTACACAAACACACACACACATATAATTTTTCCTACGTTGTTTGAGAAAAAAAGAAAACACGTGTTCCCGTCACAAAATGTTCCACATGCCACAGAAATTGCAGTGTTATTTCCCTGGAAAAAATCCTGAAGAGTGAAAAGCATCTGCTTCCTATGTTTGTCATGGCATGAAATCAAATGCAAACTAGAGAGTGGGCTGCAGGTAAGGCTTCTAGTTTCTCTTTAATGGGAATGCAGAGACACAGCATCAGTTTTGATCTACCTTGGGGGTAAGCAATACGGAAGGTGACCACATTGTTGTTTTTGAGAACCCCCACTGGGGGCAGGGCAGTTCCCTGTCAGCTTCATCCTGACCTCGTGGCACAGCAGCTCATGGGCAGCATGGTGAAATCACACTGACTTGCTCACAATTACTGACTCTGACATTTGGCAAGTCCACAGGGCTTTCTGAGCCTGTCTCTCCACTTGTAAGATGGGAATTGTAAGATCTATTGTGTATTATTGAAGATGACTGCGATGAGTTGAATTGTGTCCTCCAAAAGATAAGCTGACCCCTGTACCATAGAAATTACCTTATTGGCAAAAGGGTCAGTAGAAGAACATGTAATTAGTTAAGATGAAGTCACACAGGGGTAGGGTAAGCCTTTAATCCAGGATGTCTGGTGTCCTTATAAGAGGGAAGATGACCATCTGAGGAGGGAGACAGACAGCAGGAGGCCATGTGACAACTGGCAGAGACTGGGGGGATGCAGCTGTAAGCTGAGGATTGCCAAGGATGCTAAGAACCACCAGAAGTCCAGAAGGGGTAACAATCTCCCCTCCATGTTTCAGAGGGAGGGGGCCCTCATTAGATTTTTGGTCTTCTGGCTCACAGAACTAGGAAACAAATTTCTGTTGCTTCAAGCCATCTGGCTTCTGGTACTTTGTTATGGCAGCCTTAGCAAGCTAGTATGGTGGTGGAGGTCTAATGCAGTGTGTGGGGGGGGGGGGCTAACGAAGAAGAAGACAGCAAGGACATATTTCTTAAGTACCTGCTATGGACCAAATGTGTTCCTTACAGAGAATGTTCTTGTAGCCCCTGGGTTAGTTACTCTGAGAGTTGATCTGTCGTAAAAGCAAGTTTGGCCTTCCCTTGCTCCTCACTCTTGCCCTCTGTTGCCCTTCCACCTTCTGCTATGAGATGACATACACAAAGACCCTCACCAGATGACAGTGCCATGCTCGTGAACTTGCCACCTCCAGAACCATAAGCTAAACAAGTCTCATTCCTTACAAATTACCCAGGTATTCTGCTATGCAAGGGGTAATCAAAACACATGGTGAATATTTGTATTTAAAAAAAAACTATTACAGAAAAGCACAATGCCGTTAACCACACCACCCCATCAAATACTCTCCCTCATTTCTAACATACTTATCCCATTGTTTTTGCCACTTTTTGAAGCAGTTCTAGAAGTCCCCTTTGGCAGTGTTTTTATGAGGTATGATTAAAGAAAACACAATAAATACTGCTGCCACCTCCCACCCAATGGAAAGGCAAGCTCATAAAGATATCACAGTATATCCTCATCCATCTTTTTTTTTTTTGTACCAGGGATTGAACTCAGGACCTTGCACTTGCAGCAGGTGCAGCACCACTGAGCTAAATCCCTGGCCCTCATCATCCATTTCATTCACTGGATTGGGCACCATGCAACTTCTGGTTCTTCCCCAAAGTCAAAATGACCATGAAAAGTAAATGGTTTGAATAGATCCAGGACAACAAGGTGCTATGACAGTGCAACTAAAGACACTAATGAAAGAGGACTTCCAGAACTGCTTCAGAAAGTGGCAAGAATGATGGGATAAGTCTGTTCAAAGCAAGAGAGAGTATTCAGAGGAAGGATTAATGTCTTTTACTCTAATAAATTTTTTAAAACAATTTTCTTTTTAAAAATATTTTAATATATGTTTGCAATATGTGGGGATATTGGTACATATACCTATCACATCTTAATCTTTTTTACTTTCCCTTCTTCCTTCTATCTCTTTCCATTCTCATATTCCCTTCCATCTCCACAAAAGTCTATTTCCTATCATCTTTCTTGTATTTTTCTCTTTAAATTATTTATACTTTGTATTTCCCATATAAGAGAAACCATGCAATAATTACCGTTCTGTGTCTGATTTATTTCATTTAGCATTATAAACTTGCAATACATCCATTTTCATACAAGTGCATTTTTTCATCAGACCATGTAGCAATAGAAAATGGACTAAGACATTGTCCAAGCCAAGGAAATGTCATTATTTCCTCTGGACCTTGCATTGCCTTTCCCAACTCACCTCAGCCACTCTGCTCTAGCACTCTGGCTCTGGGCTATGCCTGGAGCAACCTGGTTTCATCTTCTCCTGAGTGCCTTTCCATCAGCTGCTGTCTCTGCCTGCAATGTGCCCAGGGCTAATCCAGATTTCCAACCTTTTCTCAGTGAGACTTGTGGTAGCTACTCAATTCAACACTATCATTTGGGCCATCTCCAGTACTTCCAAAATCCCTTGCTCTCCTCTACTTTTTCTTTTTTCCATATTCACACTGGCTTCTAATATCCTAGTAATATGTTTGTTGTGTATATCTTACTATGTCTCCCTTCGTGCCAGGGCACAAGCTCCAGAGGACAGGGATCTGCACTGGAGCTGTTCATTGATAGTAATAAGCATCTAAAATAGCACCCAGCTCACTGAAGGTGCTTAACAAGTAATTTTTAGAAATCTATCATTCATTTCCAAAAAACTGCCTTATTATTATAGAAGCTATCATGTACATTGAAAAAATAATAGAAATAATAAATCTTCAGTTCCCACCATCCAATAAAGTCTCTCAAATTAAAATAAAAAAGTAGTTGTTTATATTCTTTTAAGTGACTCCCTAAGGGCCCATGTCACCTGAGGAGAAATGTTATACAGGAGGTGTAACACTTACCTCACAAGTTTTGGTGTGTGAATTAAGTGAAATAATGCATTTAAATAATTAAAACAATGTTTACCATAAAACCTAATACAGGTTAATTGTTATTTATAGTCCTTTGATCTTATCTTTAACTTTTATCCTTTCTGCCAACTTCCAAAAAGGAGGTGGCAGATACCAGGCAAAAGAATGGAATGATGCTCTTAGAAGGGAGGCAGGTGCCTTCTGCCCCCAGTGCTCAGAAAATGAGTACTGAACACATAAGCTCTCTGATCCAAAAATCACCATGAAATACAAGGCCATTAACTGTTTCATACAATTTTATAACAGCAAAAAGACAATAAACAAGGATAATGTTTTTATATTACATGCCTTTTTCTATGAAATTTTCTTTAATGAATGAAAAAAATATAAATGACTTCTTTAAGTTTACTCAGTTGACCAGGAGAAAGGCTGGGAATTAAATCTAGAGTTAGAATATGATCAGTGAGAAGATCATTTAGCTTAACATTTAGTGAAAAACATACTATCCACTTCTAGTGTCCCATTCATCATCAATGAAACAGCCTCTAGTACCCGCTCCACCATCTACTTGGGCGACTTACCTATCTTCACAGACACGAGTCCTTTTGCTCTGGATAATTCTCCACTGATATTTTCTCCTTGTAAAAAGGAAAATGTACCCTCAGTGAGTGCATCAGGAAATGGGGCACATTGCTGACACAACCAGGGAATCACTGCTCTTGTGAACTGTAGAGAAAAAAGACAAAAGATCAAGAATGTTTTATTCAATCTTTCTTGCAACCCTTTAATCTAAATCTGTTTTCTGTTCCTTGGCAGAAGTTAATACAAAAGAGGGATCTTTTTGTTTGCTTGCTCATTTTTGCTGAAGCTTCCAACTAGGTTTAAATAATATGAAATTTTCATTGCTTATCCTAAATCTAATGTAAGGCTTTAAAAGTATTTATTATAATTGGTTCCCACTTTTGAGGGGATGAAAAGCATCACACTCATGAATATAAAGACTTCTATATTCTTACAGGCAGACTTCTCACATTTATTATTCATAGTAGTTTAGATAAAATCCAAAGAGCCAGAAGACATAAATTCAGTCTAGCAGCAAGTAAATACAGGAAGCATTAGGTTATCTCCTCTACCAGAGGTAGCAAAGGCAGTTTTTGCTCAAATACAAATCACAGAGCTAACCAGGTTAAGGAGCTCCCTTTGGATAGTCCATGCTTAATCTGATCACAGCCTGCCTGGGTGAGAACCGTGGCATGATGACTGAGGGGTTTAGCTGGAATGGAGGAGGGAAACATCTCAGAGACAAGCCCAGATTCAAATGTGGCCTTCACAAAAACTCAGCCAAACAAAACAGCACTCTGAGGCAATGACACTGGAAGAAATCTCTTCAAATCTCAGGCTGGCAATGGATGCTGGCCCATGGGAGCCACCCATGTGTCCTTAGAGGGGGCTTCTCAGCTCTGGCTATGAGGGACTAACTTGAGTCCAATCAACTTCCCATTTAGTACAAATAGAAAAGCCAGTTTAAAAAGTTATTTTAAAAATCTGCTTTAAGGCTTTGGAGAGCTAAAAAGGAAGCCAGGATATGAGAGGTTGAGATCTTAAGGACAGGGCAGATAAAACTGAAACACGTCAGACATTTTCCACTGTTCTTCCAAGACATCTGGTTTATCAGAAGCACAGAGCAAAACTGAGAGGCCAAGGAGAAAGCAGCTATATTGAGGCATATAACCTGGGCAGGCTTTTTATTCAACTACAGGGTGAGAAGATCCCAGCAAGACAGGAAAATCAGAGACGTGACATCAACCTACTGCCTCTGAGAATCTGCCAATTGATAAGTGGTGTTAATCAACCAGAGAGTAGCAGAGGTGGGCTGGAGAGTTAGACAGCTCTGGACAGTTCTCTGGCACTAGTTACCAGAGAGCCCAGGTAACTATCTCTGAAGGGTGACCCCCTAGCATGAAGGCCCCCAAAACATCAGAATCCAGCTTCCCATCACTGCAGTCCCTCAGGCTCTCACTGGATTAAGGAGGTCTGCCCTACTCTAAATGCTTCTCAGAAGCAAAGGAAGCCCTTCTCTCAAGAAAAGTAACACCTTTAACAGTATCCCAAATTCTTTATACAAAATGCACTGTATTCGGTCAATAATTACAAGGCATAGCAGGGCATATAAGGAGTGATAAAAAATGCAGTAAATGTTAAGACTTTAAAAATTTATTACAGTAAAAAACACATTACCATTAATGCCCCTCAAAGTATTCCCTTTCACTTTGACCACATCTCATTGCTCTTGCCACTTTCTGAAGCAGTTTTGGAAGTTTTCTTTCATGTCTGTACGATGTGTGATGAAAAATACAGTGAATGTTGCTGCTGAGTGCCATCCAATGGAAAGGCAGGCTCGTAAAGACATTATAGCAGACCCTTATCCACCCACTCATCAGTTCAGCCACCACACAAGTCTGGCTCTTCCCTAAAGTCAAAATGACCTTGAAAGATAAATGGTTTGGACTGATTCAAGACATCAAGGCAGCCACAACAGTGCAACTAAACACATTCAAGAAAATGGACTTCCAGAACTGCTTTAGAAAATAGCAAGAATGATGGGATAAGCATGTTCAAAGGAAGGGGAGTGAGGCCAGGGATTTAGCTCAGTGGTTTTGCCACCTGCTGTGCAAGGACAAGGACCCGAGTTTGATCCCCCATACCAAAAAAAACAACAACAACAACAAAGGAAGGGGAGTATTTTGATAGATGAATGGCAATGTTTCTTTTACTGTAATAATTTTAAAAATTTAAACACACACCATGTGTGTGTGTTTTGATCACCCTTATGTAACGTAAGTTCTGTAGGTTTGAAAAAGAAAGAGGCAATAAAAACAAACCCATAGACAACCCAGCCAGACACACAGGATATGGTCTTTAAAGTAACTATGACTAGTATGTTCACAATTATAAAGATTATAAAATATTTTAACACACCTCTCAGTAATTCACATAAAGAGAAAAAAGTAAGTAGGATACAATGTATTTGAACAAATAAAACTCAACCTTAGCCACCTATATATAGTGACACTGTTCCCTACAACTGTTACTACATATTCTTTTAACGGACACATAACACATTTATAAAAACTGAGCACACATGGTCCATATCATAGGTCTCAAGAAATTTCAACAAGTGGAAATTACAGAGTATGTTTTAAAATTTATTGTTTTGAAAGAGAGATTCACAAGTAATTGTAAAAATACAATATAGGTTTTTGAAACTGTGTAAAATGTACATATAGTAAAATGCACTGTCTTTTGGGGGGGGGCAGGGATCAAACTCAGGACCTTGTGCTTTTCTGAGGCAGGTGTGGTGCCACTGAGCTAAATCCCCAGCCCAGTGCACTGCTCTTAAAAGAGTGTTCGACTGATACATTTCAATAAGGGGATCCAACAATGTAACTGTCACCAAGATAAAAATATTGAACATTTCTACCACTCCAGAAAGCCCCTTAGTGCCCCCTTCAGTCAATCCCCACACCTCAATGGAAATGTCCTCATTTCCATTATCATAGATTAATTTTGCCTGTTCTTGAGGCTCATAAGATGGGCCCACACAGTGTGTGTTGTTTTTTGTCTAGCTGTATGCATAATGTTTGAGATTCATCCACATTGTTAAATGTATCAACAGTTTGCTCCTTCTGAGAAATACTCCATTGTATAAAAATACCACGCATTTTCAAACTTTTTCTCTTATTGATGGATAGTTGATTGTTTCCACTTGGGGAGCTCTTTTTGAATAAAGCTACCATAAATATTCTTGTATAAGGCATTTTTGTGAAAAATGTAAATTCGGTAAATTCCTTACCCTAGGAATAAAATTGCTAGGTTATAGGGTGATGAATCTTAAGCTCTATAAGAAACTGCCAAACATTTTTCTGAAGTCCTTGCATCACTTTATACTGCCATCAGTAATATATGAGAGTTCTAGTTTACACAGCCTCATCAATAATTGGCGTTGGCAGACTTTTAGTTTGAGTCATTCTAGTGAGACTCCTATAATTAAGAGACAAAAATACAATTCAATCTTTTAAGTGGGCAAAGGATTTGAATAGTCATTTCTTCAGAGAAGGTATCTGAATGCCAACTAGTCTATGAAATACATACAGAAGCACTAATCATTAGGGAAATGTAAATCAAAGCTATATGAGCTAGCACCTCACATTCATTAGGGTGGACATTATGAAAACTGCAGACAATGTGTGGGTAAGGATATAAAGAAATAGGAACTCTTCTGCACTGCTGGTAGAAAATGTAAAATGGTACAGTTGCTGCTAAAAATAGTATGGCAACTTCTAAAATAAATAATAAATAAATAAAATAAGTTTTTTCAAATTATTACAAATAAATTTCAACAAAGAGGCAAATTGGTAAATATAGAACCCACAAGTGAGGTCTGACTGTATTTCTGTATGATTTTAAGTCCAAAGTCTGGTTTCCTTTTCTTGTATTTCTTTCTATTTAGACAAAATAACCAAGTGAAGTTCCAAACAAACTGCACAAATAGCAGCAAGCTGGGAACTAAACTGAAGTAGCTTCATGGACACCCACTTCCTGTTGAGGTAGCTTGTTTACTGTTGCCCACTTGCAAGTGGGACCCTTGTGCCACCTCTACTCATTTCCTTTCTCATATTCCCAGACAGAATTTTACAGAATGCTTGAAACACTTTGCAATTAAAAAATGAATATGTCTGCTCACTTGTCAAATATAAGGACAAAATCATCAAGAATGAGGCAATGTATGTTTGGTCCTACTCCAGGGAATGCAGGGAAGAGGAGGGAGCAGTGAGAACAATGTGTTCTTTTAGTGACCTTATCATGTGACCTCAAAGGTAAACTCCTCTGAAGGGGTTAAAAGTCGACTTTAAATCCGCCATGGCTGAAGTTCACAGCCCCTACTGTCAGTGAGGTCCTCTTAAACAACAAGAGCCAGGAAGAAGTAGCTTGTATTTTAAGCCCGCAGTCCAGCAGGCAGGAAGCTCGGGTGTTAGCATCATATCTCCAGAATTTACTTCCTTCTGCAGCTCATGATGACTGTGACCTGGCACTTGAGAACAGACTGTAACAGAGACCACAGCTGAGTTACTCTGAAGGCTTCTGCCCAGGACAGGTGACTGTGCTCCTTTTTGGTTCCGGCCAGATGAAATTAAATTTTACCTTCAGTTTTGCTGGCAAACATAACACAGTCACTTTGAGCAGGGTCTTCTCACCCCCTTCTCAAAAGCAGCTGGCCAAAGATGCAGGGACACTGGTGTTAGTGGCTCTCAGTAGACAGCAGGACCTGAATAGTGATACTTTCCTCCCTGTCCTTCTCTAAGGCCCCCAACCTGACAGCAGGGTACTTCAGGAATGATCTGAGCCAGGAGATGCATGTTCCAGTCTTGGACAGATAAGAACACCATATTGTAAAGTTGAAAAAAAAAAAGGATGTAAATCATTTCCTTCCTTTCTTCTCTGCCTCCAGAGTGGGAGTAGAGAAAGTCTGCTCTTCCATCTCCTGCCTTCCCCAGCCTCTTACCCAGTGGAACTTCTGGGAAGAGGTATGGAGAGATGGCAGAAAATAGTGAGGTAGACTTTTTGGAGATGGAGAGGGATCTGAAGAAAGGGAGAGGGGAAGAGAGTCGAAATGATTAAGATGCAATATGTGTATGTACCAATTCCCCAAAACAAATGTAATTACT